CAATTAGGGTTTGTAGTGGAGATCTGGATACCAATTTGGTTCGTGAAAATACTTTCCGAATTGATCTTTCTAACCTATGCTTGGGTTGCAAGAAATTCAACGCAGGATAATTCAAGTGGACACTTATGATTCTAGGCACAAAAATCGTAAAGCTAACTTACTAGATAGATTCTGTGAGAATTTGATGAAAAACGAGAGCTAAAATTCGTCACCTTCTTCTGAAGAGGAAGAACCGTTTATATATTAAACGAGATTAGAGTTTCATTAGGGTTGGACCGTCATTAGTTGCTTTGGAAGCAAGTCGGGATGATCTGGATTAAGGTTACCAAAACTAACGAGTTTCGTTAGTTTTACCATAATCACCCTCAAGAAATTGAATTTTCCACTATGCTCCCATGTGTAAAGTATTTTCACAATTGATGTGGTATTGGTATTTATCTGTGATTCTTGTTTATGTTTGGAAGTTCAGTTCTTCTATTTAACAATTGATGTGGTATTGGTATTTATCTGTAATTCTTGTTTATGTTTGGAAGTTCAGTTGTAACATTGGATAATCAATTGAATGAAATTGCCTTGTTCGCTCTATTTTAAATGAATTGTTATTATGAATGAATTAATTATATTGTCCTCGATTGTATGCGTGATGGAATTTGTGAATGTTGTGAGGGTTTAGATTCTCATGTGTATGTGGATATCAATGGTTGGGATCAATTAGTAGGGGACCGAAGGACTGTGAAGTCGTCAAATTCCAATATAATTCAAGTGGGGTAGTGGAACCTCGTAGCAGGAAGACCTTGTGCCAAGGTTCGGTTCTCGGTCAGATTGTTCCAAGTTCAATACTTTCGTACAGCTACTGTATCTTTTAGTTTCACATCAAGATCATCGTCAACTGTTGGATTTCCTTTCAATCCGTATTAGTTTTAGCTATGGAATCATATGTAGGACGTGCTTGCGCTTTAGACTCTAGGGTGTTAGGAGCCCAGGTTGAGGGATATAATTAGGGCTTCCTTATCTGTTCTTGTTTGATTGGGGCTTGGAGGTCTAATTCACGATCCGAAGACCTTGTAGAATCGGTTAACTTTTTTTGGCTTGAGTGTTGTTGTTCGTTAGTGGATCGGGGGTAGGCCCGAGTGTCACTGTCGGTTAGTGGATCAAGGTTGAGACTAAGTGTTGTTAGTAGTTAACTAAGAATGGTTGTCAGAGCCAAGTAGGAGCATGTCCAAGTTTGGTATGTGACCGGTTGGTTCTCGTCACGATGGTTCACTTATGTGCGGGATTAGCATGACGGCATTTGGCCAAGGAGGTTTCGAGCCAATCAAATATGTGGGTTTTCAGTTAATCTGGTTTATGTGAGGGGTTGTGTCATGAAGTGGAAGTGAGTGTTGATTTCGAGGAAAAATCTAATTCAAGTAGGGGAGAACTGTAACATCCTATTTTCCTTCATTTCTTATTTCAAGGTCGTGGGCCAGATGTTAATTGTGTAAAATATTTGGGCATTAAGGAGGTAAATATTAGACCTTTTGGAACGAGGTAATGATGGTTGAGAGATCTAACCCTTGAATTGTGTTTTGGGCTGAAGGGTAAAACGGGAAAAGTCATAAGATGGGTTCTTGAAAGTAATCTGGATTTTTGTTTGAGAAGTTTTTATCCCAAGATATTTGGATAATATTATAGAGCTCTTCAACACGATTCCGTGGATATAAAGAATGTTGAAAACAGAGTTGGAACGAAGAAGTTACGACTGTTTAAAGTTATGGATATTTTTAGGGTGGTCACATATGCTAGGCGTTTTAGGGCGTCCCTAGTATGTTGGGCGTACCAAGAGTAGGCTGGGCATATACGATCACTGTCCAAACCCTATTTTCATGGTTTGATCCTTATTTAAGCTCCTTAAATTCCCTAAACTCACTCCATTCTCAGCCTCCACCTTTCCAACACCCTCTCTTGAAACCTAAACCCTATTTTGAGCCTTGTGAGCAAAAAGAAGGCATTTTTAAGTGATTTGGAGTATTCTTGGTGAACCATGGTGAAGAAGGAACTCACTAAAAAAGTGTTGGTTGCATTGGAGCTTGTAAATCCAGACCTTGTTCACCTTGATCTTTCTTTTGGAGGTATAAAGTTTGAATCTTGATGATGAAATTGTTTGTTCTAGATAGTTTAGGGTGTTATGAGCTTTTGGTCACTTTAAGTACATATAGTTTAGATCTTCAAAGTTTGTGACCTTTTCATGGATAAATTAAGAAACTTTATCCATCTAAACATCATACTAATTCAGATATGAAGGTTAGAGACTTGGACTAAATGGATTATGTTGAAAAAGATGCACTTTTGGTGCCTTTATGACTTAAGGACTAGATCTTTTTTGTTGGGACCATTCTAATGGATAAAGTTGGAAACTTTATCCATTATGGAGCTATTTGGAACCATAAAAATGTGATCTTGGTCCTTCTATCCCTTCCATGCAAGAGTTGTAATGTCTTAATGGATTAATAAGTTAGGTTTTTAGCTTTTGGACCTTCCCTAGCAATGGAAAGTCATAAAGGTGGAACCTTTATGACTTAAGACAATGTTTTGAGGCTAGATCTGAGTTTGGGTGAAAAGTCCTTAAGAGATTAAGTTCCTAATGGAAAGGATGGAAGCGGATCGAGTACGTTGGGCGTAACTTTCGTACGCTAGGCATACTAAGCCATCCCATGTACGTGGGGCGTAAGTTGGGTACACAGGGCGTACTTAACCAACCTTGGACTTTGACTTTTGTTGACTCTGTTGACTATTGACTTTTTTACCAAGTGTTACTCTCGATCAAACTTGAGGGTTTTGATTGGTGATTAATTTTTATATGGTTCTGATTTTAGTAGATACGCAGGAGCAAGCAGTGTAGAAGGGAGCGTGTCACAATGTTCTCGGTTTTCTTTATTTCAGGTGAGTTTTGCCTCACTATACCCATGGGTCGAAGGCACTAATGTCGGCCCACTAGTTTTGGTTATCTGTTAGTAGAGGGATGCCTTAGGGACTATATATAGTCATGTAGGATAGATTGAGGACTCTTAATATAGGCTCTTTTACATGTTCCTTGTTTAGTTGTGGTTTTAGAGTAGGATCACCTGTATGGGTGTTTATCTCACCTCTAATTATATACGGTCATGCATTCCTTGGATTTTTTATTTTTGTATGCTGCTATGTTGTAGTGATCTGTTATATCTGTATCCTGGTATCAAGTATGTTGCTATGCTGTAGTGATCTGTTAGATCTGTATCCTAGTATCAAGTATGTTGCGTTGTTGTTGTGATCTGTAGACGAAGGTTTGTGATGATCGAATACACTTCAAGTATGGATAAGAAACATAAAACTAATCTAAGCAAAATAATCAATAGAAAGTAAATAACACATAAGTTCTCCAAAATTTCCTTACACAAAGAAAATAGGTTTTGTCTTCACCAAGAAGATGGGTTTGTCACAAAGACGTTGACACAAAGCCACGATCTACCACACAACATTAAGGTTTACCCTAATGTTGTATATATATTAATATATACATTTATATCCCATGATTGACGGGATTGTATCTAATCTATACTAAGAACCGATTTTATCATAAAGATAACGAATCTATGATCTATTCTATAATTATCTCTATCATTTACTAATATACAAATATATCTTCTTGATATACAAAGAATTACAATCGGATAACTAAATTGTAAGCTAACGCTGGTAAAGTTGATACGATGGCACTGTCGATGTGTAAAAGTTGATGCTGATAGATCAATGTGTCATGTGTTTGACTGATAAGATCATAAGGTGTGACCTTACAATCTCCCCGTATCTGATGATGTCAACACTAAACTTCTTCTTCTGAGTCATCGGAAGAGCCATTGTAGAAATTGTCGACTTCTTTTAAGATTTCAGGCTTGACCCATCTGAAATGATCAAGCTTAAGTTCATCCAGTATTCTACTCACCTCCAGAGATATCAACACACGATATCCTTTTTCCAATTCATGATGACCTAATCCTTCCACACAAAGATGAAACAAGTGCTAAGTGGGAGTAGAAGAAAGGTCATTGGTACATTGAAAGTACATCTGATTTTGACTGTCAAGATAGAAGATCCCATGCTCTGGTTCTGGAATAAACATGTACTGAACAGGTTCAACACCAACTGTCAATTTTTTTATTGATGTATCTGGTGCCATACAAAAGAAGAAATATGGTATTCTTGGACTGTCGGGGAGTGCATGTTCTTCCTGATGAGGCTGATCTAGATGACCTAGCTAATGGACCAGCAAATGACACTAGGTTCAATTTCTTTTCTTTGTTGAGAAGCTGTTGAATTGCCAACTTCACTTCTTGGGCATGAACACTTTTATGTTTGTCAATGATTTCTAGAATCTGCATCCACTAGTTGTAGCCAAATTTGAGTAGGTCACGAGCAAATACAATCTTAGTGTATTCGTACTTTGTCTTCTTCCTAACCAAGTGAATCTTTAGTGACTCGTTTCAAGGCTTGGTGCATCTCACTTTGATTTTGGAATTAGGATTTGATCTTTGAGTTAGAATGTATCCAAACTTCTTTTTATGGATCCGGTCATTTAGGTATGAAATAATGTGTTTCTTTTCCACATTGTTATTAAAGATCTTGACCATATTATCAGTGCTTTGAACATCCACAATCTTATAAGCAGAAACAAGTTCATGAATAAGTCTGGCAAACAAACATTCTTGTTTCCTGGATTCTTTCTTTTGTCGGATAACAACATTGTACTCCAGCATGATATGTCTAACTTCTTTGATAGGTAAGCTCTATGTTTATTCTAACTCATTCAAATCAAAGGCGAACTTGCTTTTCTTTTGAGGATGAGTTGAAGTATCACAAGCTGTAGAGGAACTTCTAGCTTCAGTATCATGAGCTCCCCCTGAGAATGAAGCCTTTCTTTTTGGAGGATTGAGCTAGACACCATCATCAAAATCAATATCACTACCTGTTCCTTGAGGAGCCTCTTAAGAAATCTCCCTCTCAAAACAAGAACCAACATAGACAACATTTAATGGAATAGAAAAAACAACATCGTGTTGCATGAAACCAAGATCCAGAAACCCTTCATAGCCACCAGTTTCTAGTTGGTCACCAGTGTCTGGAATGGGTTGATTGGTTGTAGCATCAACATCAGTAGCAACAATCAGTTTTTCAATTTCATTTTCAGCTTCAACCTTTCCAATCATCTCAAGCTGAGATGGAGTTGGTACAATCACCACCTGCATTTTCATAGACTGAGGATCCCCTTGATTATTCTCCGCATTTTTGGCAGCGTCAGATTGGGGAGGAGAGTTAGGAGGAGGAGAATGAGTTCTTGGAGGAGGATGAGATGGTGGAGGAAGATTTGTTGATGGAGGTGGAGGTGGAGGAGGGTTATCACCTAGAGAATTTGGTGGAGTGTTATCAAACACCATATCATCATCACCATTATCCAAATTCGTAAGTCTCTTCATTGTAGCGACATCCCTTTCAACTTTAGTCAACCTTTTAACCATTACCTGAGTTAAGTGCACAAATAAGGAAAGTTGGGAAATCATGGTAGTTTCAAAGTTGGAGTTGGATTGTCCCTGATCACCCTGAAGAAGAGCAATAGTGGTAATGGGTAATGGTGTAGGGGGAATCGTTTCATCTTGATGAACAATATCAACTTGAAGGAGGCAGTTTTGGAGAAGGTTCATCCTGGATCATTGGCGCATTAGAATCTCTAATCTAAGGGGTTGATCCATGATGTTTAGTGTCATCAGCAGAGGAAGAAGATGAAGTAGTTGAAAAACGTATGTGCTCGTTCAACCTTGGAGGAGAGTTCATTTTTTGAGTGAATTCATCTCCCATGTCAGCTGCTAAGTCCTTTTCATATTTATCAGTGTCTTCTCCCTCATCAACCCCTTCTTTATTACCATCTTTTGAATCACCATCGCTATACCAACATCATCATTATCTTCTTCAGAGTCTTAGTATTCAACCACATAGGGATTTTCAATCCACTTTTGCATCCTTGTAGTAATAGGCAAATCATCCTTAGATGGAGCAACATTGATAATTTTTGAGGAAAGAGCAGGAATAGGAATAATGATCCTATGACTTTCAACATAGCCTTCTTCACGAGATAAGATCAACCCAAGCCAACGTCAGGATGGAACATGTACTAGTCTCTTGTTCCAAGAAATACATTCAATCATCTGATCAAGAAAGATTTGATTAACATCCAATTTTTTGTTGTAAACGATGGAGTATAAGATCCTTTGCTCAAAGAGATTCATTTGATCCAAACTTCCAGTCTTATGAACAAGACATTTTCCAATCACACCTGTTAATTATTTCATCCTACATTGAAACATGGATGAAGAGTGTTCGTGTAGGGATCACGAGTGTGGCCCTTGAGTTTGATGTTACACCCTAGGTTTCATGAACAATCTTGTAGTTTTCTTTAGAATGAAATTTAGAGTAACTTTCAAATTAAGGAAGACGATGTGCAGTTTGGAAAGATTCTACATCAATAGTAACCCTATATTGACCATCTTTAATGGTTCTGGTTATGGTTCGAGCAACAGTATCAACAGAGCATGTATAATAAAATTTACATACTTGTTTAGTGTGGAACGGATCAGGAAAGTCATAGAATGCATATCGAAGAGGACCGTTCTTGAAAATTCGACAAAGTTTTCGATTTCTAAGTTTGTGAACTACTTTGGAATTTCATCCGAGAATGCCACATTTGTTCTTTGAATGGTGATGGTAGAGTCAGAAGCATGAGGACCTTTGATGATGTTAGCGCTGGGAGCAAACTCATACAAGGACTTTGACATGGTGAAAGCTTTGAGGAAGATGAAGATTTGGATTATTTATATATATATATATATATATATATATATATATATATATATAATATATATATATATATATATATATATATAGAGAGAGAGAGAGAGAGAGAGAGAGCTTAATTGTTTGAATTGCTTGTAAAAGTGACCTAGGATGAAGAATCCCCAATTTATACCCAAAAAGTATCTTCATTTTTATGTAATCACGAGTGACGATATATATGCCGTAAAAATTCTGTATCCCAAGATAATGATAGACCATTTAATTGTCATTCAAAAGGTTACCATTTGGATAAGATAGATACTTTAGACACATCATCCATATAAAAAAGTTGATCAACGAGTTGATTGAGATGGTCACTTAGTAAGTTTGTAATGTCTCCTCATAGCGTGAGCTAAAACTACCATTCACTGACATAGTATTTTGAGATCATATCAGTGTGTGGTTTCATACTCTGAATCTTAAATATTTTTTATTATAATAAAAATGGTAAGAGTTGATATGTGCGTGTAATATATCACAGACAATGATATATCCATCGACACAAATTTTTCAAGCTCTCATAAGTGTATGGTACATTACACCGAAGCATAAAACTTTAAAGAAGAATGTAAGGGTAAGAATGGATTGGTGTGTGTGATAGCCTACGGTACATAGACTAACCATCGGCATAGACTTTTAAACTTTTGTTAGTGTGTAGTTTTACACAACGAATCATCAAGCTCTGTTAACAAGATAAATGAAAGAATGGATTGTTTTAGTCACACTGAGGTAAAATCAGCGTGAATTATTAACAGTTCAACTCATTAACAAGAAGTGGTTTAAACTTTTGTATCATAGAGTAAGTTGCAATCTAGAATAAAAGATTTACCATTAAATCATAATGGTACCATGTCATACCTCAAACTAGGAGGTCATGGACATAAACAACCCGTTGTCATTTAAGGACTTCATAAGTATCTCTTACAATGATGGCTATGCAATCAGAGCAAACCATTGGGTTATGCTCAATGTTTTAGCACAACATGAGACTTGATGCATACGATAAGCATGCTTCCAAGGACAAGGTCAGGTAAAGATGATTAAATTAAAAATAAACACCCTAGCCTGTTTATTGATTTTTTATTTGGACCAAGCGATCTCACTTGGAGATTTTAAACATCGCTAAACAATCAGGGTGAGACGGTGACTCAATGTTCTCAGCAGATGGTCTCGCTGATGAGAAACTTAGAGAAATTTTTTCACATACAACATTATACTTCTAGGGACGATGATGTGTCAAAAGTTGCATAATAGGCTTAGAATTTCCACCGTCGAATTCCTTTATAAAATGGTACAAATCAATAAACAATATAAGAATACAAACAAAAGAATTAGTCAAGCAAGAAAATAGTTGAAACAGGGAAATATGTGCAGCTTTTTTAGAAAGGTGATAAGGACTCGTTCCACCAAATCCTTGGAATTAAATGGTTAGTAATGCACTTCCATTTTCCGACATATCTACCACTTGAAATTTCGGCTATGAAAGAGAACAAAAAAGATCAACCATATCACACAATAATACAAATCATAGTAAACAAGGAGAGAGAATGCCTTTAATTGTTGAAATTCTGCAGATTGATTCCGAGCTTCATGTTCACCAAGAACAAACAAAAAACATGAACAAGTCTTTTTAACATCCGAGTTAGAGGGGTCCAATCTTTGTAACCTTCGAGTTATGAGAGTCACCAACACAACACTTGAAGGTTCTATACATTGAGATACATGAAGGAGAAGAAGGTGAGATCACCGTCTTGTTGAAGATGCCTTTGGATCTTTGAGGTGATGAAGTTGTAGTGACAACGTTTATGGAAATTAGTCGTGCCAGGTCACCTAACTTCATATCATTCCATTAAAACAGAAATAGGTTGTTCAAGATAGCGGGGATATGTTCCCAAAAGAACACTTAGTGGCACAGTTATCCCCCATCTGGTCTCATCATCATAAAGCAACATGTCAATCAGCGTTCGCATCAGCGTCAATGAGATAGCGGTTCTTGTTGAAGAAAAGATGCAGAGTCAGTGTCAACCGACTCTTACAAGGAGAGTGGTGCATTCAAGGAATGACATGCTGATCCCTTTAAAGTAGATCAGACAGATAAGGTCACTATGGATAGAGAATATCATGTAGGAAATGTTAGTAGAGAAAGAAAGTGTATTCACAATGTATACTTCTTTGGTAAAAAATAAAATAAAATTTTAATGTAAACAAAACAAAATTAAATTAAAAGAGTAGCAGATTATGTTAATTTTTTAAAAAAAAAGAAGGAAAACATAAGAAAATAAAGTATCAATGTCAAAACCACCAAATCAAAACATATAAATATTATTCTGTCTAAGTGTAATCATCACAATTTTGTTTTCGAAACCGATCACCTTTCCCTCATGGAGATTAAAAAGAACTTTATAACCAGCATCACAAAGTTGACTAATGGAGATAAGATTGTTTTTTTAAACCTATGACAAAAGACACCTCTTTCAGCTTGACTATTCTACACTTAAAGGTTCCAACTCCTGTGATGACTTCTTCATTGTTGTCGCCAAAAACCACATTTAGACCATCAATATCTACAAAATTTATCAACAAGGACTTATAGCTAGTCATGTGTCTAGAGAATCCACTGTCCAAGTACCAAGTATGATCTAGATTTGGACTTGATTCAATGTCAACATAAGAACCATCAGTGTCACAAATTCCATCAAGCGAATCATCTACAAGTGTCATGTGACACTTAACGTTCAACACATCATCTTCATATTTCTCCTCTTCATCCACCCATTCAATCCTCTTGTTTTTCAATGAAAGCTTTTGGTAAAGAGATGCTTTCCTTCTTCATATAAGCCACCCGCTTCTTGTATAAGACTTCATAGCTCTCACAACTTTGGGATTCTTTCTTCTCCTTGCAATCCCAAGAAAAATGGTTAGGGGTAACAAAATTAAAGCAGTTACCTAGATTTCTCTTCTCTAAATTGGATCTTCTTGTTGGTCTACTTCGCTTGAATTGATTTCTTCTAACCTCGTTTTCTCTGCTTTCTTCGTAACGCTTGACGATAAGTGCAGCGCTGGCGACAATCTCATCGGTGAGATCTTCATCACTTTTTTCACCCTGATCTAAATTATCACAATCGCTGATGGTTTTCCTTGCTTCCATTCGATACACCAAGGCAATACAATTTTCTTTGCTTGAGTCCTTCATGATTTCCTTATGAAGAGATTTGGTCTCTTCATAATTCCATATATTATCGAAAAAAGAATTCAGATCCATGGAATAGATCTTCTCACCTTTCTTAAGATGTGACATCCCCATTTTCACGGCCAGAAAAGACCGATTTTGTTTATGCTTTATAAAAATCAGAGTACTTCTTTTCATAAAAATGTTGCGGAATTTGTTCCCAGAAAAATACGATAAATACGTTATGAAAACATTTTCGAAGAAACGTATTTTATTTATGTTAAAATGTTTGGGATGTCATCGTCACTATGGAAACATAAGCATAAACGGAAATTACATTTATTTATGCTAGTGATCTACATCTCTTTAATCTCTCAGTGTAATGTGACTTCATATCAACACCTGTGATATAAATAAACTGAGTGGGTCAGGTTGGGAAACCTGGTGAGTACATAGGGTTTTCAACCCACAATAATATAATTATTATGTTTAAACAATCAAATAATCAACCCAATTACCCATCTCCATTATCTTCTTTTAGTCTCCCTAAAGATATTATCTTAAGGGTCATCTCTCCTTACATCGTATGATTGTTCCTATGAACTTTACCTAAGGATCATCGCCTACATTGCATAGACAATACTAATTCGGGGATTACTCCCTCAATATGTGTCTAGCAAGGGTTAGGGTATCATCGCATGATTACGCAGCCACAACATTGCATGGACTTGTAAATCATGATAAGGGTTAGTCTATCATCGCATGAATACGTAGCCACAACATCGCCTGGACCTGTACTTCATAATAAGGGGGTTAGAATATCATCACATGAATACGTAGTTACAACATTGCTTGAACTCGCAATTCATCACCTACATGTTATGAGCCTGCTGGTGTTTCCACGGAGTTGTCTATAATAGTCTGTGGTCGCCATCTATACTTTGGTAGATGACTACATCTCCAAATTGTCGGACGAGGTTGTAGTATCCTACATCACCGATTCATAATCACCTATCTATCCTCACCTAATTATCATCACCTTCCTATCATCACCTATCTCTCATTATTTTATTTCATCATACACCAACTATTTCATCTACCCATGTTTTATCCCAACATATTTGTAGATATAAAATAAATATACAGTTTAAATCATTTAAAACATGTATAAATCATTCATCCAACATAGACAACAAGTATTCAGATAATATGCACACATAGCATGCAATTTATGTAAAATACATCATATCTATGCATAAAATGAAAGTAGCTATGCACTCACTTGAAAGGTGGTGACTCAGCACTCAGACAACGCTTCGATACTCTCAAAACGACCTTCCTTCGATAAAACCTAGTACCAATACCACTAGGGTTTAGTCTAACGATAACCGCGACAATTTAATTAATCTGACTATTATTATTATATAAGCGTTAATAACACTCAATATAACTCATAATAATAGCCCAAATAATTATTTTAAGGACCTAATAACATTCATATAATTATTTGAAAGCTATATTAAAAATTGCGTAAGCGTAGCACACTTACAACGAATTTTATCGAAAACCGGAACTTAATTGGAGCAGCGTTTCGAAACCGAAAGACTCCTTTTTCTCGAGACTCCGGGAGCCTCAGGGCTTCCTTAGGGTGCTAGGGGTTCACCTAGACTTTAGGAAGGGTTCAAAACCTTAGAGAGAGAAAATAGTGAGAGAAGAAATGAAGAAAGGTGTGAATTTTTCGGAAGGGTTCGCTGATGGGTTTTGAGCATTCTA